CCCCAAAACCCCAAAACCCCAAAACCCCAAAACCCCAAAACCCCAGGCTATTGGAGAGACATTGGATGGGTAAATATATATCTTAGAAATATACAAGCGGGTTTGTGTGTCTTGAAAAGAGGTAATCTTTATGAGAAATATACCTTTTGAAGATTTTAGCGGGGTGAGCAGCTGAGACTGAATTTATTAGCATTGCTTAAGGTAGTATTAGAGGGAAAAGATAGTATGGTTAAGATAAGATAAGCTGATTGAGGAAGGTGCTCTCTTAGTTATGAGTCAATGCTCCTTTGTTCTTTAAAGTCAACCCATCAAATTTTGATTTTGAAGAGTGTTAAAATTTCATAAATTTTACTCATCAAAGATGTAGATTTCAGTAATAAGCAACACACGAGATAAAATTTAGTAGAGGATTTGAGAAATTTTACAAGCTGCACTATTTGTAAGATAGCTAATACCTCTTTAAAAGTATTCTCTACCATCTTTGATAGTTCTAAATCATATTTCTGGTACTGAATATGTACCTCTGGTCATTCCTAAACTTGTTTGCATAATAACTATCTATCAAATGAGATCGCATAAAGCTTCTAAATACCCAAAATATTACCCTGATACAAGATGACGTCAAATAGATCAAGACCATATGGAGCTGTTATTAAAGTAAAGAACAGATTCTATATTTTTGCTCGCTTAACTAATAAGATAAATTTAAATGAATCCCAGAGACCGTAAAGATGATCTAAAGATGGTTTGGGTAAAACTCAGAATATTATTCAAACAATCATTTTAGGGATCCCATGCAGACCCTCTATTGGGTGTTTTTAGGACTGGTTTTGTGAAAAATTGAAACTATCGTCTTGGAATGGTGTCTTTTGGATGGATCTGATGCCAGAATCTCTACCTTGCAACTGGGGAACTCTTCAGGAAGATGGATCTTCATCATAGAACGCATTTTCATTGTAAGAGCCAAACTTAGTAGCTTCTGTTACTTTCTGATGAGAATTTATAAAAAGTTGAGAATGAGGAAATTTAGGATTAATAAATGTCTCAGCTTGATTTAAGGGTACAATAGTGATCTCACAAGGATACTCAGGAATTATCATATTTATTTCTCCATTGACTTTTCTGTATTGTAAAGGGGTGAGAGATTCTATCCTTTCTGCTTGAAGTATTATTTTACCTTCACCTAGAGCCAGTAGATTGCATCCTTTCTTAATCTTCAGTTGAGACTCATCTTCTTTCATTTGAGACTTGCACTTAGGCTTGGCAAACTCCTCTTCAATAGCATCATTAGAATAAGGATTCAAACAGGAAAAAGACTCAGTCTTTTTCCTAAATGTTCTCTATTTTTGACAGTATAGTTGAAGAATCTAGACTGTTGCTATTTTGTAATATCTTTTTCGTATACATGGTTGAAGACAGAGAGTTTCCCAAGCTCTTCTCTGCATACTTTAAGTCTCTCTTTTTCATCATGGCTGAGGGATATTTATCTCTCGCTTGTGAGTTACTACTTCCAATGACTTCTGGTCTGAATCTCGACTCTTTTCCACTCATTTTTGTTGCATGAGGATCTATTGAATTTCTTGTTTCCTCATATTTCTGAGGCTTCTCAAATTGATACAATGGAGTAGCATCTGCCATATCCTTAAGCACATATTTCATGGGATCATCTATGTTAAAGTCCTTCTTAATCTGGTCGAAATACTTCTGGCAGTGTGACCTAATCTGGATGCTTGTCCTACTTGGTACCTAAACAGGAAATATTCCCAGCTGACAATCAAAACTTACCATTTCTTCTATGTTATCCCAATTCTTTCCGTATTTCTTAAGACCTAAATGATGAGATGATTGGTTTACAATTTATAAATGTTTGGTGTTCTTCAAAAGACCACCTTCCTTTCTTCTTTACTCTGGAGTAAGGCTTCATCGCCTATAATTCAAGTTATGGCTAGGAACCTCAAAAAGAATGACTAGCATAAAATTATTCGTAAACTTGTCAACAAGAGCAATACCATTTCTTCGTGAGGGAAGACTTCCCTTCCTTTATGGTGTTGTGGATATTCACTTTGTCCTTCCATCTATATGAACCATCAAAAATTGCCAAAGGATGACTTTAATCCAATATTTTAGGATTTCACACTTAAAGCTGGGTTAAAAAATGATTTTTCACGAGATTTAAAGAAATCTTGTGCAGGTTTTTAATTATCTCCTCATGAAATCTTAATAAACGACATCCTAGAAACTATAGAAAGCTCTAAATGAACCTTTCTTGTTCTACACAGTTTGCCAGTTATTTTAAAGGTCTTTGAATACCAATAAGATGAAATTTCTGAGAATCTGAGAATAATCTGAATTCAGGATTTAAATATTTAATGATTAATTACAAAGATGGGGAAGCTCGCTCACAAAATTATTAAACTCAGATAAGCTTGTTATCAAAAGTTTTAGTTAGACACTTCTAAATACTTATATCCCAATCCATTAAATCCATCCCTAATTCTCCCATCAAGCAGCAAAGGAGAATGGCAGAAAAAGACCAAGAGAAGGTTCTTCAGAACAAGAGATTTAGATTTCCTAAATCTTAAGAATAAAGAGTCATAATTACTCCTTTGGCTCAAAAATCGTGGAAATAATGAATTAATTTTTTTTAATTGACTGGGCTTCAAAAATGCTTATAATACCCTAAATTTTGACGATTTGGGTGAAAATATCACATTTAGGTGAAGGTTCAGAACATATCCCTAACAGAAGAATCTTTTAATTCTAAGTCTTTTAGTTAGCTTATTTTACCATGCTAGATATACCACTAAGCTAAAATTTTGTCTCCTGAGTGTTTTCTCTATGGTAACTAGGTTGTATGAAATTCATTGAAGGTTCACCAAGGCTTAATTTCATTAAATTATTCTTTGAAGCCCTTGTAGAGAGATAGAGCGAAGAATTTCGAAGGCTCTAGCATGTAGTGTTTCAAGATTATTAGCCCGTTGGGTATTAATTTGAACCAATCCTAGGACTAGTTGAAGAAGTAAAGAACAAAAGTCTCAAAGAATAAATTCTGCTTTAAGGATTATTATCTTACCAAATTTTAACAAGGCTTCGATGAAAATTAAGTGTTAATTTTAGTCATAGGGTAAAAAATTTCAAACTAATTGAGATGGGAGGGTACCTAAATATCCATTCCTCTCCCTATGTATAGCTAATCGTATGAAACATCATTTCTCTCTTTTTAATCCATGACTCTTTCTCAAAATTTACAAATCCAAGGGGTATGAACTTAAGTATTTCGTGAAAAAATTCTTAAAATCATTAGGGTGTAGTCATAGGCTAGCAGTAAGGATATAAAGAGGTTGGACAAATGATCGAGCTCTAAGCTTAATAATTTCTAAATCTTCTCTATAACTAATGCACATAGGCTTCTGTTTCAAAGAATCTCTGGGAAGGAAAATAAGAATAGGCAATAATAATTCAACAATGAGAATAGGTAGTAGTCATCTGAAAAATATAATTTCTCTCAGGATTATTAAGACAAACTCTTGAAGTTTTAATAATAGAAGAGTAGGAGAGTTAATTCAGGAGAGGAGATAAGCCTTGGCATACTGGGAAATCCATGTTATTCGAAATTACATATGGTAAAAGTAAGCACTAAGAAGTCATTTAACATTAAGATATATGTTTTAGGGTCTAGAGTAAGTAAGAAACTAAATTAGGGTAATTGAGACAGGCAGAATACCTCACTTTGAAGGAGCTTCAAGTGTAAGATTACAAAAGCTTTCTCTTGAATGCTAAAGTTGCACATATTTCGTAGCTAATTTTTAGAGTAGTGTCTAAAATACAATTTAAAAGAGGATTTATTGTAAGAGATTCACCGTCTATTTATGTTTGCTATTCTTTCTTATTATAGAATAAAACTAAGATAAGAGCCAAAATTTTTGCTGAATTTCAACTTTCTAAACATTTCCTGTATAATGATTCTGAGTATTTAGATTTCAGATCTGTGATTATCCGAGAAGTAAGAAAAGCTCAATAATGGGTATAAAACACTCCTGAAATCCGTTTGGGAGGGTTTAAGGAATAAAGAGAGGCTCCATAGTGATGACTTACCTAAAATATTTAATTTCAATTTCCTTTGCTTTTCTTGGGGTTTTGGGGTTTTGGGGTTTTGGGGTTTTGGGGTTTTGGGG